AACTAAAACGACAGGAAAGAAAGAGAAAAAGAAATACATATATATGTATATGTATAGAAATACAAGAAAACAACTATGTAGAAGGTAGCGTCATGAAGTAATATCCAATGACGCTAACAAACGATCCATGAGTATTTAGAAATAGTCTTCTTTTTGCTGACATCTTTGAATAAATGAATTAGAAATAATTTGAAGTGGATAGAAAAATCAAGTTAGATCCAAGAGAAGTTGTACTGGATAAAACTGGCCTCGTATGGGACAGGTGTTGAGTGAAAGCTATCTAACCAAATTTAGCAAACACTTTCGTGCATTTTTCAAAAAAGGGTTAGCGAATTCAGAGGATGAGCATTGCTTGTTTTTAGATTTGTTCTTCGAAAGTCTTGTATTTAAAACAGATCACTTTTATTTGAGGAATAACGACTATAAAGAATGCTAGCTTCGCGTGACAATCTTCAGATAGTCATCGAAGTACTTTCAGTGACGGTATTATATTTGTATGCAAAAACACAAAAGATCTCATTGGTGTAACACATGTGTGTACATCATAAGCTGTGCAATTGTGTATTCCTTTCAGTAGAGCGTTAGCAACGCTCACGTTGCGTTACTAGTATATAAAGGTTCATTGAATTGTTCGTTGATTCTTTCTGAAATAAATAAACATATATATCAATATTCTGAGTTCGTTGTTGATATTGTGTCTAATCGAATGAAAAAATTTTTAGAATGATTTAATCATCAAAATGCGAACATCATTTGTCGTGAAATCAAATAAATATTCTGCAAAATTAGTAACTGATTACATTAAATTATGATCGATAATACGAAACCATTTTAAATTAAATTTAAAAAACAACTTTATATTTTACCATGAGAATTATTGAAATTCGGATTTAGATCAGAATTATATTCATTGCCATCAGTATCAATTATATCATTGTCCTCATAATCTCTACCAATATCAAACTATTTATCATCATAAGAATCGTCTCCTTCATTAAATGAATAATCGTTCTGTAAACCACCACCAACGCACACTAAATGTTGTTCATGAATAACACCAACTGCATCAACATCACCGCTAATAAATGGATTATCTTCGAAATTCTGACTGCTAGTTGATGAGGATAAATTACTTTCACTCTAAAAACAAATGGACCTTATTAAGAATTTTTTGTCAATAATGTAGTTTAAATAATTTACATTATCCGTAGTTGATAATGGTAAAGTTATTTGATTTGAATCGAATTTATGTCTTTGATTTTCTCTCCAGCGTCTCTGTCTAATTGTACGCAGTGATGGTTCTAAAGACATGTGAGAGTAAATAAAACTATTCTACTCTAGAACACTTCTACATTACCTAATTTGGGAATGATATTGTTGATAGAAAAGTCATGATGATCTTGCAAATTAAATTCCATAAAAAATTTCTACAATTAATAAAACAAAAGATTAATCGATAATAAAAACGTTCTTTGAATCGAAGTCTTTGTTTCTTCTCTTTATCCAATGCAAGAAATAATTGATAGATGTCTTTCGAAAATAATCGGTCATTTCTAAATTTTATTAAAAGACGGATGAATACATAACTATCGTATGTATCTATAGATATATATGTGCATATTTAAACAAAAAGATCACGTGAAATTAATCTTTTGATTCAGACAAGAATCTTTTTCCTTTTCTTTTGGCAAGAATCTATGCTGATCACCCTGATTACCAAGATTCTTCTCTTTTAGGCAAGAAAAGCAAGAATCTGGAAAGATGAGAGGCAAGATTATCGATTAGTGAAGTTCTCCTAGGACAACTTAAAATTTTCCTTTGTCCTAGGAATATTTTAAATATTCCCGTGTTTTAATTGGCCCTGCGACATATATATATATATGGACAATATAGATTTGAATGGATGACAACTATTTTTGAACTTGCCCTTCTAACTACTATTCACACAGGAACTTCTTCTTATGTAAAAACATTATTTAATTGTTCATCTTGTCTTCAATAGTTTATTACAATTTGTGTTTCTTATCATATCAATATTAATATAAAAGTTTTGTTCTATATAATAAACATTGGGGTTCAATAAATTTCTAATTAATCGAATGATGTTTGTAAATACAGTACACCAATCTATGACTGCAAAACATCTTTTATTTTATTTGTAAGAACTAACACAAACTATATATGTTTACAGAAAGACAAGTATTTGGAGATTTATGACACATTTTTAAATATGAGATCATAATTATTTATCTTTTTGTTAAGATATAAGAAATACAAGTGACTCATTTTCCATAGAAAATTATAATCAAATAATCATGATATTTCTTTTCATTGAGAAACATATTTAATATTTGAATTGCTTCACATAGAATTATGGATAAAACTAAAAGAATTATTATTAGTTTGATTGACAAAAACGAAATTTCAAAAGAAATTATGATTTTTATTATGGTGAGTTTTTTTAGATTTAATCTTACACAACACTCGACGACGATAAACACACGATACAGATATAGGAGAATAGAGTAAAATAAAAGCGATATTTTAGAAAGAAAAGACGTCAATTAGTTTCTTCGTGATAAACTCATACCGTTAGTAGATGTTAGGTTGTTTCCTTGTTTTTGAAAAAGACAATTAATAAGTTCCGAACGAAATAGTTTACTCGAGAGAGTGAAAAGATAAAAACCTAGACAGGGAACTGTAAGAGAAATAAATCCAGAAACATAGTTAAATGCGCTATCTTTCGCTGCTTGAAGATAATCAATAATCAGATTTGTTCGAGCCGATGTATAAATGTATTGGATAGCCGGGAGACTTGCTGTTAAGATGAATACTATACACTGAACAAACATCATTTGGATTAATTGACGGTCTGTTTTTTTAGAACGTCGTTGTTGTTGTTGTTGCTGTTGATTTTGGATTAAATGCGGATTAGGATTTGTTCCAGTGCGTCGAATCGATTGTCGAATATGTTGAATAGTTCCAAGACCAAAAGAGAGCATAATAATTGGTGGACCAACACTGTATGCAATTAAAAGCCATATACCAATAAATGTTTGATAAACACGTCGCAGTGCAGAACATAGTTGTTTTGGAAAAGCTATTTCATAATAGAAAAGTATATGAGAAAAAGTAAGACCAACTATTAAAACTGCAAAAGGAATACTATAAGATGCAAAACGAACAGAACTCAAAGCACGTAATTTCGTAGATGATGAACTACATAGAAATCTAAAATAATAGTGTTATTAGCCCCTTGGGGACGGGGTTACTTTTAAGAAAACAAAGGGAAGTTTTGAAGCTCTGAAGTATATATTTATTCCTATCAATAAGAAAAAACGTCTAAAAGTACTTTAGAGTATGATAATCTTGAAAACAACCAGAAACGCAAAGTCCCACATCGCATTCAGTACATTCGTATCTACTGTCAGTTCGCTTTTTAGTTCTTCTTGTTGTTTTCGCACAAACGACACATTTTCTTTGAGGATTTTGTTTGGTCAATGTTGAANAAAGAGAATCCATAGTGAAAGGGAGAATGTATGCGTAGAGAAATAAGAAATAAGCCGTATACGATATCAGTGGAAGATCACGTAAGGAAAGAACAGAAGTTATGGGTATAAGTGCAAAAGGAATAAGGTGAATAAGGTCATTGTATCAATAGTGATATAGCAGATTAACGATTTATGTGGTGGCAACTCATAAAAAACATACAAACAGGTATATTTTAATTATTTACGAGTTTATTTGAAGCTGGACGTATATATACGTCGCCCGTCCCCAAGGGGTTAGTTTTGATATTCTTTTATATTCATTTACAAGAATATATCAATATTCACCTGTCAACACAAGCCAAAGCAATAAACCAGGCATATTGTGCTCTAGAAAAAGAAGATGTATTAAATACCTAATTGATATATCAAAAACTCAATCTATATAAATACCTAGCCCACATGACTATTAATGTAAGAATTTTACATGCTGCTGATGAACTACTAAAATAATCTATAGCATATCCAAGCGATAATAAACGTAAAGGTGTGCTTATGGTAACAACGCAAAAGCCGCTAATCGTTGCTGCAAAAAAATACCATGAACATGAATTTGAACGAAGTGATGGACGTGTAAATACATATATATTCGATACATGACTAAAAGTACCAAAAATAATCATTAAATAGGACCAAACTCGTATAAATACAATTGTATTTTCTCGAATAATCATTGCTTCTGTGATACTTGTGTTTGACAATGACATTCTGCTAATAAGTAGTCAATTATCTTCTAAAATGTCTTACGAAAAAACTCCTTCAAATAAAGATGACGTATTTTAATGAATTTGCACTAAGGAATACCCTGCGGTAAAATATATAAAAAGAAAATTACAAAGAAAAAGAAATAAATGTATGAAGCATTGCCGTAGGTTTTAATTATTTTCCCATGACATGTTCAAAGTTTTTAATAAAAACAAATTTGCAGAAATAAAATGAAAAGGTTCTCAGCTTTGTTCAAGAAAAGTTCTTTTCTACATTATTCTAATATGACTGCCCTACAGCAACAGAGATGAATGATAATCAGCTTAATATCTACGTAAATGTTCTCATCAAAAATTAATAACTCAGTTTTTTATTCTTAAAAAGTTTATTCAAAATACCGAGAATATAAATAAAAAAAAAGAAAGATCAAACGATAGAATATATGTGAAAAGATGTTTTTTTTTATAAATCAAGTAAAACAATGTGTGTCTCTGTTGTTAATACAAGATTTTTTAACTGTCAGATCCATCAGATCCTTGGTATATTGATAGAAAAGTCAAAGAAATAAATTAACCCGCTTTATACACTTTGATCTTTACTTTCCATACGACTACCCTAATTTTGATTGAAGATTATTTTTTGAAAAACTAATTGACATTATCTTGTTGTTCTTGAATATAAAACAACATATAATTATGGAGCTAATTCAGAATAGAAAGTTTGAAGATCCAGCCAATACGAATTATTCAAAATGGCAAAAACATCGATACCTATAATGAAGAAAAATCTTTAGAAATAAAATCAAATTCTGTTCTTATTACATTGATGTAGCTAAAAGAAATTTCTTGTTTTAAATTAAATATGAATATTCAATTAAATACGATGAATACAAATTTATCAATAGATATTCAATCAAATGAAACATATTAGATAAAAAGTTTTCGTTTTAAAAATTTATTAACAGAAACAAATTATCGTTGAATTACAACATTTAAATGATAATCCATTGCAAATGTTGATTTTCGTCAATCAACTTCATATATCGAAATTATCAAAACTTTAAATGAAGAAGACAAATCTAATTCAGCCAATTTATCTTCTTATTTTTCCTATGTACTGTTCTTTTTCTTCTTAAATATTCATCAAAACACATTTTTTTATTAAATTTTCATAATCATTACATATTATAATGTTATACTGAATTTTCTAACACGCAATATATTTAACTATTTCGCAGACAAAAAAAAACATATTTGAGAGATAGCAATTGATTGACATAACAATATTTAATTAATATCATTTTTCCGTAAAATAATCTCTATCATGTCTTCTCTCTCTTCTATACAATAAATAACGCTCGTCGAGATGGACTCGCATTACCCTCGACTGAAAAGATTCATATGTAATAATCAATTTGCTATTGTTTTTTCATTTCATATAAGAGAAAATGTTTTCCAATATGAAGTTTATTTATTTGTTTTTCAATGAAATAAAGACAAATTGATGATATAATTAACAACTACACGAAAGAAAGCAAACAAATAATTTTTTGTATTAGTTCTAACTAAATCTCTAAAGAAGTCAAAATATGAATAAAGTATATGCGAGTACGAATAAGAAGCGTGGAACAAAACATAATAGTTACGGTAAAATTGAAAACAAAATTTGGATTTCGATTACAAAACAACGAACTAATAGAGAAAATGTTTAATTATACAAGAGATTTGCACAGTTACAAGTGACACAAATGAATCCGATGTGCAAAATGAATGACAAGCAACGGTGATTTGTCTTTTCTATCGAATTTGTCAAAACCATTCTGAAAAACGCATTTGTGTTTCCATGTAGAGTTTGTCTAGTCTTTGCATCTCGGCAACTTGAGATTTGCTGGGTTTGATCACTAAGACTTTGTAATCAAAGTGTCGTAAAATAATTAAATCGTCCAAACGCTTCACTCTTGATAATGGTACATACACTGCAGCGATGTCATCTGTATCTTTTGGTAACTTCAGATCGATGACTACTTTGCTTAAAGTTTGTCCTTGGCTTTTGTGAGTTGTGATAGAATATGCGGGTACAAGAGGTAACGCGCGTCGTTTAATCGATAGCATTGCCTTTCTGTTCGTTTTTGATTTGTTGTTGACTTTCGGAAGAATATCCGAAATGTCTACCTGAAAGGTTTGTTCCATTATTGGTATTGGAATGAGTTTTGGTTGAAGCTTTTCAAGATTGCACTCAATTTTGGATTTGCTTATTTCGATCAATGCATATATTGGCTTGTGCACATACTGGATGTTCACTGGAAACGTTTTTGACAGACTATCTGTTGACACTGAGTCAAGATCATAGACTAGTTGTCTAAAGATTCCATTCATGCCGTTAATTAATCCGAGTTCAATAGCAATATTTTGTGTAATGATAACCGGCATTCCAGGAACTAACGGTAACAAACCCGGTAAGTGCTCAGTCTTACTGTCAGATAATTCCAATAATTTCTTAAGGAGTGTCGGCTCTTCCACAGGTTTGCCTTTACAAAAGTCCTGGGCAACACACACCATTGGATCGCAACCTGTTTGTATTGCATTATGAATTGCCGACCTGTGATTCAGTTGCGTTCGTATTTCATTTCTAAACACAAGCATGGGAGCCTAAAACAAAAAAAGCATAGAAAATATGTTTATTTAGAACAGAGAAATATATCTTACTTGATTCCATGGTGGTTCATGAAGAGATACTGATGACTGTCCAACAGCACGCGTCAATAATAATTCATAATCTTCATAACTACATTGACCTTGACGAAGTCGTTCAAGTAACTGAAGATATCGTATGTCTTCTGTTCGCATCTGTTGAGTAAGTTTGACCACACAATTCATTTGTAGAATTAAAGAACGTGCAACACGTTGTTGGATTTCTTTTTCCGAAGGTAATTTATTGAATTTCTTTTTATTTTCCGGCGAAAAGTCAGTATGTAACGGGGCATCGTATACTGGCCGGTACTGTAAATAATCACCAAAGAATATCACGTTTATACCACCGAATGGAATTTGCGGATCGCCATGTTTAGCGGCACAAAGAATTCGATTGAGTTTTCCAAGTAAAGTCAAACCAACCATACTCATTTCATCAATCAAGAGATACTCTACAAGTGTCCATTCTTTTTCCAGCTTTAAATCGCCTGGTTTAATAGTTCGTGGCTTTCCTGAATTGCGTTGTTCGCCTAAAAATGAATGGATAGTCATGCCACCAATTTCAGCGGCCGCAATGCCAGTAGGTGCTAGCTTTCGCATCTTTTGTATTCTGTTTGTAACACGAAAATATTCAGTCACAGCACGAATAAGTTGTGATTTTCCTGTACCACCACACCCGGGTATACACATGATGAGTTGACCATTGTTATCTCCTATATGGATGATATTTTTCAATTTATGACTATATAGAACCATGTACATGAACATACCTGCATGTGACTGTTTATCACCGTCAAGGTGACTTGTGATTATCATGAATGCAGCTTTCTGCTCTCTGTTTAGTGTGTATTGATCAGCAATAGTCTTTTGGTTACAATATGTTGTACTTGTTACTGAAGCAACTGGAAGAATTGAGTTATAATTATTAGATATGTTCATGTTTGAACTAGTTGAATTTATCAGTGTTACAACTGTGTCTTCCATATCGTCAATATTCGACTCATCGCCTGTTTTATAATGTTTGCCAGTGATTAAATTTCGTCTAACTCGTTCTCTTTCAGCTTTCAGCTGCTCTTGCCATTTAGTATTGAGTCGAACGAGATCAGATGTTGAAGGAACAAATGATGTCATC